TTGACATTTGCACGATTTCAAAGAAAGTAATTTAACTGCCTGAAGACAACAGCAAACAGGGCATATTTTCTCAAATAGTATTAAATACTAACTAAATATCAAGCCTCTTATGGGTAAAATCCAAATAGCAATAGTTTATTGTAAATGAGAATTATTTTTAGATTAGATAACCTAATAGCACAGGTATTTTTTAACCTAGTATCTGAAGCTATGGGAAAGGAATTCCTCACAAAAAAATGTCTTCCTATAGGTGGATATAAATAGCTTTCTGCATAGCCGTAAGTTTAAGACTATCTTGATGTTTGACATTCCTGCCCCTGTCTCTCCTGACAGCAGGTAACACAAAAATGATAAAAGCCAGCCCTTTAAAATAGCTCAGTGAAGAACTGAAATACATATACACCTTAGCAGTAAACACGAAAATCCTACAGAAAATAAATCTCTAAGCAACTGAGACCAACTGTAGCTCTATTAGAACAGGGTTACAAAAAAAAACCAACAAAAAAAAAAAAGGACCAAATACTCCCTGTGAACATTTATCATACATTTTTGTATTACCGGTTTTAACATTGCTATGCTCAGCCCTCCAGAGCCAGCCAGCAGGGCTGCACAAATGTGGGGTTTTTTATTGTTTTTATGGTTCATAAATCAGTCACTGACTGATTTCCAGTTGTAGTTTGTTAGATATAATTGCAGAAGAAACAGTTTGAGTTTTAGAACCAATTAGGCAATCACAGTACACACACCCTCTTCTGCCTTTATTTTTTAGGATCAATCGCCCCAGAGAATTTTATAGCAAAGTGCAAACAAGCATTTGAGAGGAAGCTGATGAATACTAAGGAGTCCTCTCTTACCCAGTCAGATGATACTCATGGCAAATAAGGTACAAGGACATGTATGCTGAGGACTAACAGGAGCTACTGAAGTACTTTTGAGTTTGCAATTGGAATTATTGAGGGGGAAGAAGCAGAGAATCAGAGCAACAGAGCTATTTCACACTAGGCACTTAAAAGCTGGTATCTCCAGTGACAAAAATCTGAGAACTGAATGGAATTAAATCCATCTGTTTGCTTTCTGCCTGGAGAACTTAAATTTTGACCATCAAAGCTAAAAGTAGTAGAAAAGCAAGTTCAGACAGCCTGAACAGAGGTCCCAAATAACTTCAACAGTCTTCAGCTTTATGCATACTGTTTTAGAAGGGAAAGAAATATGCAATAAAATGATGCAGAACGTAAGACGGAGATCGAAAGGCAAATAAGCTCCTGTTGCTAACTCATAGCTAGCTATGAGTAAAAGATTACACAAAGTTCAGTTAGAAAGCATTGCACCAGTTTTTACATAACCCGTGGAACAAAGTGCTACCTAAGCATTTAGGATCCTGGAATATTTCTACAGAGAAAATGTTTACAATCACATAAATTAAAGAATTCTATATAGATTGTTTAAAAACATTAACCTACCAATAATCTGTTTCAGGATTAAAGCCCAACTTTCTTCATAACCTGATGAAATTCTATCTAACACAGGAATTCAGAGAGAACACATTCTTTACTGCCTTCTCTAAGTACACAGGCTGCTTTTCACAGTGGCCCATAGAAATGTGTTGAGCAGCAGGAAGAACTGGAAAAAAAAGATACTATCCAACACTTAGTAACTTAAAGAGAATTCAATCATGGATGAGATGACACCAAGTCCAACAAAATGCTAGTAAGCAAAACTGAATTACCTTTTTTTTCCTACCCTTTAAGAATTCTCTGTACTGTTAAAAAAAAATTTTAACAGATAATTTTTACAGAGTATTTAAAGATTTTAATTTTTATTTCAGAAAGTTAAAAGGCATAATTTAAAAGCCTCTTCAAGTTTTTACCCATTCGATATTAAATAAAGTGGTAAGAAGGTCACAGCAGTTTATTTTCCAGGTAAAATCTCTGCTGCATAGAATATGGATACAGAAGATGAGACAATACAGAACTTCTCAAATATTAGCTTTTTAAAAGGTGAAACACTTAGCATGAATGCATGCAGTAGCATACAGCAGAGCTGGTTTGTGCACATGGCTTTAACCTTCTGTGTTATCTATCTGAATGTTTTTATTAAAGCACTCAGAATAGCTGCCATAAGTAATGCCTGCCAATTTGTTACAGACTACAAGGACATCCCTAATTTCAAATTAAGCATTTCAGCAGTGGTTTAGAGTGTTTTATTGGGCAAGTTTGGATACTATTCCTCCAAAAAACAGGCTGCCTTCATATTATTTATGAGTTGAATATGAAATACTGACTTTCAATTCCATTACTGGCTAAGACCGGAAACTATCCATAGTGCTACAGTGCAAATTTACACTGTAATCCACTTGTGGAGATAAGCAGGTTCTCCAAAGCATGGTGTTCAATAAATGATGGAAACAAAGGTTTCATGAAGGCTAGAGGACTGGGTGCAGGCAGCGTGTTAAGAGAGAAAAACAACCTGAATCACATCTCGAGGCTTTTGTTTGCCACCTACTACAGTTATTAATGCACACTGACAAGAAACTTGACTGCATGACCATACTGTTGATAACTCAGCACAATTCCATATTTTCCATCTCAGCAGTTCGTGTAGCCTGGAATCTTGGAGACTGATCAAGCTTCAAAACACATAGGAATGCGTGCATGAAGCTGGTGGCAACCAGCCAAAGATCTGGAACAGCACCTGATGAACTGGCTATCAGGAACCCTGGCTCTGACCGAGACTCACCTTTCCCATATTTAAGAGTCCTTTCAGAGAGCACACTTGGAATGGATGAAGAACATCTTCAACAAAAACCAGACCACCTCAGATGCCAGTTACCATCTAATTACAATTTGTGTCCTCAGCAAAAAAAACACTATTTGTGGAATAGCACTTGCAGCTTACCAACATCCCCAATGGCTATTTGTGCTCTTTTGGGTTTAAGCTTCTTTTGTACTAGAGACACAGTCTAACTATGGCTTTCCTACAGAGGCAGGTTGGAAGTTAGGAGCAACATGTTGTACTTACTTTTTTTGATGACACTTCAAGTCACATGAAGTGACAACTTGACAAGCAGGAGAACACTTACTGAAACTGTATATTTATTTAAAATGGAGACTCTCAAGACAAAAAAAAATTAAAACTGCAATTTGGGGTGCTTTTCTTAAAGCTGTAAAATCTGAACTTGTAGTTGTGGTGCTTCAATGCCCATGGGTAAAGAAAAAATACAAGGGGGATATTGGATTCCTTTTTTTTTTTTTCTTTATAAAGTTATTATCTCTTCTTCTGTTTTACATGTTTTATTTCAATACCCACAGACTAAGTTCCCAGGTTCTTTTGTTTGGGGTTGTGGAAGTTTTCCCCTTTGATTTTTTGAAGGTGAAAGTAGTAGCTCAGATTCCAGGATGTTTCATGTACAAAATTAATCATGTGCAATTAGCAAACTGATGAAAGAATAAAATGGAAGTGAAGATTAATCACATCTTCCATCATCAGTGAGGACAGGAAGTACACGTAACATCAACAGCTATTCCCACCCACAGTCTTAAGGTGCAGCAGTACTTTAATCTCTATCAGAAAGATACAGTGAACAAAGCTAGGAAGGCAGAAAAAAAATACATGTACACTCTTGTCCAGCTGCAGTACTGGTGTACTGAATTTCTCATGCCAAAGCTTAAAACTTGTAGTGTAAAAACTTTCTCTGGGAGCAAAATACAAGGACAGGCACAGAACTAGTCAACTGAACCACCCCGTCAGCTTAAACCCAATATGAAAGCAGAAACATAAGGGGCAAAACAAAAATCATATTAGATAATAAAATAAAAACAGATTTAAGAAAACCCACAAACCAACACACACACGGAGCCCGTGTCACTTTCCAGAAAGTCTTATGCTCATGAAGAGGTTTTACCTCATTCATAGTGCCAAAAAGGAAATCAAGTATTAGAATAAAATTAATTTTCAATTTGCCTTTTGAAAAGAAACAAACACCTGATGTGTACCCTTCAACCACCTAATGCAGCTAATATTCTTTAAGAACTAATTCTGGCAAGCTTCCTGGCAAAAGCAAAAGGGAGATTATTGCTGCTCTGTGCTCTGCAATGCTCTTCTGGCAGGAAGGTCATGGAACAGTAAATGGACAACTGACGGCATCCTGCAGCAAGACAAGAGCAGTCGCTGCATTGAAGCACATGTCCTTTGTGATCACCTCCTCAAGTGTATTTCATATAAGAACCATGACTGAACTCTGCCCAGCTGTGGTGGGACCAATCTCTGAAGTCATTCTGCAACCACACTGGCACAACTACCAGCAGGCCACATTTCACTTGTATTTAAGTGACTTGGGTAAAATGACATTGCAGGCAAGGAAGGGCAGTTAGTTCCCTACTGGAGTGACTAAACTAGCCAAGAGTGTCCTGCTTTATGCAATACCTAAGTGCAGATGTGCTGTTCCCTGCTTTGAACACTAAGGATGAAACAGAATTCCAGACAGTGCAGTAACTACACTCCTGATCCTGTTCTACATGGCATTTCTCCCAAATGCAGCTTCCACTTTTCCAGCTCCCAGAACCTAAGGGGATAAGGGGAAGGGGAGAAATCATCAAATCATTTAGGTTGGAAAAGACCTATAAGAGATTTTTCACGAATATCTATAGAGTGGAAATTACAAGGCTTATGGATTACTGTCTGTCAGCCCTGCTCATGTCATGCTCTCACATTTGTCACCTGGGTAAAAAAAAGCAGACCATCCTTACTGAGCGTGGTTTCTCAGAGTCACCTGCAAACCCTGTTATCAGTCAAAGCAGTATGTGCACAGTTATGCTAAAACTAGCAAACATTTCTGTAATCAGTTAGCACTGTACTTGTTTCAGTATCGCCAATGCTTGCTGAAAGACAAACCCCTCAGCTGTTTCTAGAGCAAAGCGCATTATCTGTCTCTTTCCAAGTCCATTAAAGTATTTTATAAGATACATCTAGTTTGATGTATGCATCTAAAAGAAAAACAGTACCTTTAATGTTCTAGTTGGAGCCCAGCCTGTGCCATCAATTGAATGTTCTCTCAATAAACTGGAAAAAAGACACATGTATTAAACACTGCAACTTCTGCATAAACAACCATTGTCAGAAATCTTTTCAGAAAACATTAAAAACTTAAGAAGAAGCTGCAACACAAAAATTACCTCTTGTGGTATATCTAGATACTGGGATTTTAAAGTACAAGAACTGTTATGTCTTCTTAGAATTACATTCCACATAGTGCTATTACAGTGTAGAAATTCTACATGATCTGCATAGTATTCTACATACTTAGTCCAGTGAAGCTGCTGACCTATTTACAAGTTGAAATCATTGAGGTGTATTTAGTTGGTTAGTTATTACTGGACCTTTCAGGTCAAACATCAGCAGTTACGGGAAGTAAAAATACTGGAGATCAGAGCACAACTGAGAAACAAACTGAAGTCTTGCTTGTGTTTATGAAAACAAAAGTAATTATCTGAATGAGAAAGTCTGGAAAACTCCTGGAAGCATCTTTTCCTAAGCACCTCCTTCTCTGTTCCTAAGTTATCTAAGCCAGAAAACTCATACAGCAAAGTAGGAAAGCACAAAAAATTCATCACCAGCAGCAGCTTCTACTATTGAAGTAATAGGTTTAAAGTGCAATAGTCTTAAACTATTAGGCTTTAGCAGCTTGCAGGATAACATATATTATATACAGTAGATGACAGGACCATACGGCCTCTCTGTCTAGTTATTTATTGGATATGCCTAGTTTTTAATCCAAGGAAATAAGCATTAGTCCTTTTACAATGTAGGGAGGCTAGGAACAGGATGATCATATTGAACAAGACCATTCCACCTTAACTTGTGCTGTTCATCTTATTTCTGTGCTTTGGAACAGATGAAATATGCCACTACCACTAGTGAAGCTCAAACCTAATTTCAAGGATGTGAAAAACAACATCTTGTGGCTGCAGTATTTCTACGAATTACAAAAGTAAAAGCAAAAATGCTGCTGAACCCTGACCTGGCAAGAAACAGGATTTTCAGGTTTTGAGCAAGTAGAGACTTCTTAGCTTGCTTTCTGTCTGCTCCTCATCAAATTGTGCTCCAGTACTCCCCTTTGACTCTTCATATACCTTACTGTGAACTTAAAAGTGAGGATCAAGTTAACACACAATAAAAAGATGAAAATCTCCACTGATGGAGCTCAAAGTGCCTGAGCACAACAGCTAAGCCTCATTAACACCCTCCCCGCCTCTGTGCGTCAGAGCTCTCCCTGGGCACATCTCCAGCAGCCAGGACTTGAGAGGAGACACACTTCTCAGAGCTCTGGCAGAAAAGCAACGAAGATATGCAAACCTAATACTTCTCATGTGCTGATGCATTTTTAGAGCAGCATCCTCCTTCTCCCTAAAGATTGAGAATGATCATTAAGCCTCTATTTAAAACCTTTCTCCAGCACAAGGTGTCTAGAGAAATTGCATCTTGTGCATGGGGATCACCTAGATACAACTGCCAGTTCGCTCTGAGGGCTCTCTGAATGGTGACCTGCTCTTAAGAGCATCATACACACAGCAGAATGAAGGCTAGATGAACAGAAACATACAAACCACATTACGTACTAGTTTGGTAGATGAACAAGCATCTGCACATAGCTTCTGCTGAAAGATCTATGATCAATGGGTCCTACTGCCAGAGAGGACCTGGGTTACTAGGAAGTTCTCAAATGGCACAACCAGCAGAGTTTCTCACCCACTCAGTGCTTCAAGAGGCTGCCTTTGACAACCTGCATCATACACCACACAAGTCACTTGTTCCACCAAAGTTTCAAGACTGTTTCAAGATGGACAGAAAAGCCTTTTTACTTGAAGTGACCATTCTAAAATTTCCAGCACTTTGCTATCTCATACAACAGGAGTGCTGTAAAGCTCACCTAGTACTATTTAGGTTGAATAAACATTCCGAAGCTTCCCTTGTGATGCCTGAGAATTAATTTGCAAAAGACAAGACAGGGATAAACCAACTGTGCAACTCCTGCAGCATTTCAAACTACTAAAGCTGGTGAGCAAGTGTATGCAACGGAGCTGGTAAGGGGTCTGGAGCACAGGTGTGACGAGGAACAGCTGAGGGAAGTGGGGGTGCTTAGTCTGGAGAAGAGAAGGCTCAGGAGGACTTTATTGCTCTCTACAGCTACCTGAAAGGAGGCTGTAGTGAGGTGGGGGTTGGTCTCTTCCCCCAGGTAACAAGCAAGAAGACAAGATGTAATGGCCTCAAGCTGCACCAGGGGAGGTTCAGACTAGATATTAGGAACAATTCCTTCACCAAGAGGGTGTTCAGGCATTGGAACAGGCTGCCCAGGGCAGTGCTGGTGTCACTGTCCCTGGAAGTGTTCACAAACCATGTAGAGGTGGCTCTCAGTGACATGGGTTAGTGGTGGCCATAGCAGTGCTGGGGTAAAGGTTGGAATTGATTACCTTAAAGGTCTTTTCCAATCTGGTTGATTCTACAATTCTATGCCTTGAAGCAGAGCAGAAGGATTGGGGGTGAGCACTGTGGCATGAGCAGGAGATTGTCAAGGTGGGGACCTTCACCAGGAACAGGGAAGAGCAGTACAACCCTATTTCCATTCGCTTCGTCTTCAACAGCAGGACCTGAGAAAAGTTGAGTGTGTCCTCAGCCACTGGGAACCTAGAACTCATAACTGCACCATAACATCAGTTGTTTGTATCTAAGAAGATCTCCCAGATAGATTTCAAATCTTTATATCTGAGTTCCAATGGGAAGACTGCAAAAATCACTACTTTTGAGGCTGTAGTAACCAAACCAGCCACTGATGTGACCAGCCAGCTGCTCAGCTTGAATTTTCACAAATAACTTCTCATTCTGTGAACAATTCCTATATTGAGAGATGGGCTGATGCCAACCTCATTAAGTTCAACCAAGACAAGTGCAAGGGTCAGGGCAAACCTCAGCACAGATATAGGTTGGGCAGAGATTCGGAGCAATCCTGCAAAGAAGGACTTGGGGGTGTTGGTCAATGAGAACATGAGCCAGCTTCAGTGTGCGCTGGCAGCCCAGAAACCGTGTCCTAGGCTGCATCAAAACAAGCGTGACCAGTAGGCCAAAGGAGGTAATCCTGCCCCTCTACTCTGCTCTTGTGAGGTCTCACTTGGGAGTACTGTGTGCAGTTCAGGTGTTCTCAATGTAAAAAGGACATGGAGCTGTTGGAGCAAGTCCAGAGGAGGTCATGATGATGATCAGGGGATGGAGCACCTCCTGTATGAAGACAGGCTGGGAAAGCTGGGGCTGTTCAGCCTGGAGAAGAGAAGATGCATGAAGACCTCATAGCAGCCTTCCAGTATCTGAAGGCGGGACTCTTCATTAGGGAGAGGGACACTTTATTAGGGACTGTAGTGATAAGACAAGGGGTAACAAGTTCAAACTTAAGCAGGGGAAGTTTAGATATAAGGAAGCAGCTCTTTACTGCGAGGGTGGTGAGGCACTGGAAAAGGCTGCCCAAGGAAGTTGTGAACGCTCCATCCCTGGCAGTGTTCAAGTCCAGGCTGGATACAGTCTTGGATGACATGGTTGAGTGTGTGGTGTCCCTGCCCATAACAGGGGCGTTGGAACTAGATGATGTTAAGGTCTTATCCAACCCTAACTATTCTATGATTCTACAAAACTAGATGATACAATTTATCAATCTTCAAACACTTCTCCATTCAGCAGCATTTAATATTACCTCATGAAGCAACCAAACTTTAGCTAGCAATATTTAGTGCTGAAAAAGACACATCTGACAACACTGACCACCTCACCATGTGGCAGAAAAGCAGTGAGATTTGAGTGATTAAACTGTTTCTAAAAGCTTATGCAGTCAATGAGAAAAAAACAACAAAACATCTCAGGCAGGAATCACATCAATAGAAGTTAAAAAATAAAACATCGACATGCATTACACACTGTCAAAAGAGTAGTCAACTGGTCTATGTAGTATGCAAGAATATTCTTTCTAGGTATCCCAACGCTTTTCATCCACGTGTAGGTATTGCCTCCACTGCACAAGTACGGTCCAGTGTGACCACAATGCGTAAAGCACAGAGAAATAACACTTTTCCTTCCTAAAACTATTACACTGGATCACAAGCATAATAATTATGTAAGTTTTAATTCAGGGATGACTACTGAACCAACACATACCATGGTGTGAGGTAAGTTCAGTAAAGAGACGGGAAAAATACCAATGAGGATTTTTTTTCTGCTTTTAAAAATAACTGAAGCTTTTTTAATGTAAAGACTCCTGTATAAGTTGATTGCAGGTACTATATATAGAGAGCATGGTCCATTACAACAGGCATAAAGCAATCAAAGTTATTTTAGTTTTCCCAACTAAATGGTGAGACATTTCAGAGGTTTGAGATGCTAAAGTATTTGACAATCAAATAAAGCTGACATTTCAGTGCAAATGCTGAAGAATTACTTCAGCAAAACTATGATGTTCCAACACTACATTCACCTTTACTGATTAAAACTGTTTAAAGACAAGAAACAGTGACATATGCTCAAGAATGTGAGGCTTTATTTAATCCCAGACGATGCTGCCCTCTAGTCAGAGGTTAAACTGTTAGCTGTCATTTGGTGTACAGTATTTCTTGTTCTGATTCCAAACAGCTCACTTACTCATTCTTTTACTTGTGCTATTAGACTCAGATCACCTAAGCTTTCTCCACTGACTAAGCCACAAGGACTTAGGTGGAATTTAAACTGTAAATCAGTCTCCTTACTGTCAAATGACAAGGCACTGAAAAACACTACAGAATTGCTAAAAGTAGCAATACATATTTGCCAAAACAGCTTCTGTATCACCAGGTTCAAATAATTGTGGACAAGCAGATTTTTACACAGTTTCAGAGGATTTAGTATGTTTTTCCAGTGCTTTTATATCCTTCAGTCTGCAGGGAACGTAAGGTCTATGGACACCAGCCCTCACTGCCTGTAATCCTGCCACAGTCTGGAACTAGTGAGCACCACAAACATACTACAGCCTCCTCAGGCTTGTTTCTATCACTCTGTTGACAGAAGCTTCTTAGGAGCATGGATCAGACCACTAGGGGTAAAAGCACTAGTATCAACCCTCTACCTCTTATCAGCTGATGAGCCTGACCTGTCTATGAAGTTTAACAGATTACTCAGTGAGAATTCCGTTTTCACCAGGACCTTCAGGACTTTGAACACAGCACTAAAATATTTTTTAAGTCTAGGCGAAAAATTTAGCTTTTTATTAGGCACTAATTTACTACATATGCTGGGAACTGTTTTGGATTTTCAGAACAGCTTTCAGTCTCACTTATATCCATTGCTTCTGTTTTATCTATTTTCATGTCCCAATAATTTGAGAGATGACAGTCATGCTTCTCACTCCTGTTTCTGCTTGGTTTCTGGCCAATTTCACCAGCAAGTACTCAGGATGAAACACTGAAATTACAACACTTCAGAAACTGATTTTAAAGAGGAAACATTTATGATTTATGAGACATTTACTGAAACATTACAATTTATGTTGCTGGGATAAGCACCCAGCAACATAAGCCTCTCCCTTCAGTGAAGCTTTTGGGCTTCCTACCTTGACACACAATGTCCCAACTCCGTGTGGTTCTAACTGATGCATGTGTCTTACAGTGTTAAACATTACAATAAATGGTACATATAGAATAATTACTGTCAAAGTTTAAGGGACCTTCTTCCTCCCTTTTTGAAATATAAGTGGTTTTCAAGCACGTAAAACATTCAGGCATTAAACAAGTAAAGCCTTAAGCCCTCTCAGGGCATAAGAATTATTCATTTACGGAGGAAGGAAACACAGTTCAGTTTTGTTTAGATTGGAGTTTACATTTTCACCCCAAGTACAATGAATAGTAAGTCTGAAACTGAAAAGCCAGGTTGTTCATGGTCTCTCATAGATATCAAGCTTCTTAAGCATCATATTTGCAGGATCTGTTGAAAAACATACTGGCATGAAAATTACAAACACACTTTCTCACACAGACAAACCTCCAAGGTTAAAAATACAGAATGCTTTTACTACCTTAAGCAGATTTCTCCTGTCTCTGTAATGTTTGGATGCCAGATTCTTGTCAAGCACTTTACCTTCGGAGGCTGACAGGAAAGAAAACAAATTACAATGTTATCCCTTCAAATAAAACTGTATCACTGTCACAAATCATAGAACTGAAAGAGGAAAACATTTGATATTTCACAGCCTAGGTCTGCATGTTAGAAGACACTGATTACCTATGGGAGTTGGGCCAGCTTTCTCTGCCCTTTCAGCTACTCTTCACAAAAGCTAGGTTGGTATTATGCTTTTTCCTCAGAGAAACATAACTTTAAAGAAAGCCAAGAAAATCTACTCTTTTCACCTGGCTCCTTCAGAGGAAAGAAAACATTCCAGGTCATTCAGTTTCTTAACACTGAATGGTAAGTGTTAAGACCTTAACATCCTAAGACTTATCCAGATTAAGGGCCTATTAACCAGCAGAGGATGCAATGGTAATAACAGCTTCTTTTAAATGCAGACCTTCCTGTTGGCAACTGAATATAAAGTATTACAAGAAGTATCATGAAGGTGCATCTTATCTGAACTTAAGACACTAACATAAAAAGCCATCAAACTTCTTTTCAGACAAGATCACCAGATTTCTGAATTCCATATGGTATCTGAAATACAGATTCTTAAAACACAGTCTCATTTGCTCTAGTTTTGTAAAGTAAATAGTGTGTCATAAAAAATTCCAGTAGCTTAGCAACAGCATGTTGTTCCATCCTTGCTCTCCAAAGTACAATTTGCAGCTTTCAATTAAGCAGGTGATTTCTTATAGTAAGTGTACTGGAATACATCAGCACAGACCACTACCTTTCATCTTCAATTAAATCGCATATTACAGATGGAGCTATTTTCCTCCACTGATTCCCAGGAAATCTTCAGTCAAGACAAAACAGCTTCCTAAGCTGTATTTGCATGCCAGGACGATGCATTTTGTCGTATCACTTTGTTCTCAACTTCCCCCAATCACCTTTTTAGTAAGGTGTTGTGTTTTGTTGTTTTTTTTTAACTAAGACTCCTTGGGAAAAAAAAAAAAAAAAAAGAATACGCATGGCGCTGAGCTACCAATAGCATCTCTTTAAGTCTGGCACTAAAAGAAGAAGCACACATCACCACAACAAATTTACAACATACAGTGCAGACGTTGATTTTCTCCACTCTTATTTCACGTTTGTGCAGCAACTCAAGGGATACTTGGGACTACCCCAATACTGGATCATGGCACTACTGAAAATGCAGAAAATAGTCTCAAACATTTTACAAATGATTTTTTTCTAAATCAAATCAAGATGACTTCAAAACACATGTTTTTAGAAGTTTTCTAACAGCACAGCTTTTCATTAGCTACACCTTCACACTGTTTTGAAGGATAATGTCTGGTTCTCAAGGAAGGGAAAGCAGCAGTATTTATTCCATGCCAGTAGATCAAGATTAAGTGCAAATTTCTAACTGTATGCATCTTCAAACAGTGAACATATCAATGAGCAGGGAAAAAGTAAGCTTTATACAAACTAAGGACATGGATCTTTAGAGCAAGCCCAGAGGAGGCCACAGAGATGCTGAGAGGGCTGAAGCAGCTCTGCTCTGGAGACAGAACTGAAAGAGCTGGGACTGTTCAGCCTGGAGAAGAGAAGGCTCCAGGGAGACCTTAAAGCAGCTCCCAGTGCCTAAAGGGGCTACAAGAAACCTGGAGAGGGGATCTGGACAAGGGCCTTTAGGGACAGGACAAAAGGGAATGGCTTTAACCTGCCAGAAGGGAGACTGAGCTCTTAAGCAGAAGCTCTTCCCTGTGAGGGTGCTAAGGCGCTGGTACAGGGTGCCCAGAGAAGTTGTGGCTGCCCTATCCCTGGTCGTGCTCAAGGCCAGGTTGGACACAGGGGCTTGGAGCAACCTGCTCTAGTGGAAGGTGTCCCTGCCTGTGGCAGTGATGTTGGAACTGGATGAGCTTTAAGGTCCCTGCAAGCCATTTTATGAGTCTGTGTTTCTACAACTCTATGATAAATCTTTAAATCTCCAAATTATAAGTGAATTAACTGGTCTCATTTTTTTGTATCATGGAAACAAAAGAATTTCCTTATCCTTTCAACGTGCTTTTCATTGCTAAAAATCAGGAAAAAAAAAACTAGCTCTGACACTAAAACAGTTTTCTCTTTCTCCTTTTCCTGTTACTCAATCAGGACAACTTCAGCACTATCATGACATTTCTCTTCAGACAAAACTTCTCCTTCAAGTTTGTTTCAAGTTATCTTTGAGTCTTCTTTTGAACAAATTCACATAGGATTTCCTTGAGCTGATGTTTCATTTGAATACGTCCAGCCTGCTCCAGGTCATACATATGACGTTTTGCACAACAAAGCTTACAAAACCCATTTCGTCTCTCAAAATCTTTCCTTACCTCAGATACTGAAAGCTGCACAGTATACCCAGGCTTCACTGGGGGTCACAACACAGAATGGATTTATTTTTTCTCCCTTTCTAAGCAGCCACTTACCTTTTTAGTATCTCTCATTAGTTTTGATAGTGAAAAACATCTTTTCACATCCATTCCCAGTCCACTTCAACATATTAGTGAATATAAATGGTACAAGAAAGCATTACAAGCATTTGAAAACTAGACATATACCGACTTCAGTTTTGGTGGAAGTTTTGCAGAACAAGCTTCAGAAGTGTCCTACAACTATGACTCCATTTTTTTTCTTTACTGTTTCTAAAAAACGTAACAGCCCCAAAGAGGCATTAACAGGAATGCACATTTCAGGGACCAAGCTACAAGCTAACCAAGGCATTTTTTGTCACTCTCCCCTACCAGTTCCTTGAAGAGCTTCTCAAGATCGGCTGAAACTGAACGCCAAACACAGCTAAGCATGTAGTAGAGAGACCATGTAGTAGAGAGACACAAGTCAAGGGAAATGAGGCCATACTACTCTTTGAGCTTTTGATGGACTGGATTAGCAAGCTCAAATAGAGGAAGAAGAGCTGGCTTACGGTAGCAGTGGGTCTTGACACAAGAACTGCCCCTGTCATGCACTCCAGGTCCCTTAGCTTCCTTGCACTGCCTCAAAAGTTCCAGGCAGAGCCATGATGGAGTTCCAGTCCAATTCCCATTCCATCAGTTCAAAAAAAAAAAAAAGGCTTAAAAGTACGGTCACCAAAGAGCTTGATGGAGGCCCCTTAATTGTAACATCTAATCGTTCACGAACCAAATCCCTTTGGATTGCTTGCTGTTTCCACAACTATCATATTAGCCAGAAAAAAAGGCCAAAATAGCAGCTCTGCTGTTAAAACTCCTGGCTATTGACCACTGCCTAAAGCACCTCAGCACACAAAAATATTAGTAAACTGGAGAGTCTCTAAGGCTGTCTACTCTTACAAAATGGTATGTCAAAGCCATGGGAGCTGCAAACAAGGCCTGACTTGCTGTGGCAAGCAGTTTAGTTTTATGTGAACATTAAACCAGACTTGTACCATTCATCAGGTTCCTTAAAGCACCAAGTCCCTAGTCTTGCAGCATCCATTATTTCATCAGCTGTAACTCAAGGCAGAAAAGGAGTTTGTTTCTGAAAAATCAATCCCTTAGTCACTGGATTTATTTATTTTTTATTATTATTATTATTTTAACATTTGCTCCCATGTCCCACTGACTTCTATTTCTAGGCAGCTGCTCAACTAAAAGATCAGTGCTTTGGGAACAGATGCTGTGGATGCAGAGGTCACACAACAATACTTGGTGCTAAAGGCATTTGCTGTGTACACCATTAAATGTTTTGCTTGCTGTTTCACAGCTTCCTATCTTTATGGACAGCAACATTCCCAGCAGGCTTTGTAAGCACAAACACAAACTTCTGTTTGATTTACAGAAAAGCTCATGGATGTGCAGCCTAACAAGTGTAATACTTTAAATGCCAACTGACAGGTTTACCAACAGATTTTAATACTTCTAATGGCATGGTGGGTTTGAGAACACAACTACAGAATTAGCTAACCCTGCTCCAGTTTTCTTCTCATGATCTCTCTGCAACATCTGTATCAATACCAATTGCTTTCTGTTCTGATACAATAGCCTACCACCATCAAAGAAAACAATCCAAAGGCTATCTGGTAAATAATATATTACATTGTTAAAGAAGTCCTTCCTTCACTGTTACACCTGTTAATGATATAAAGAACAGCACACTTAGGAAGTATGCACTGTATTAAGGGCCATCTCATGCATGTATGGATATGCAAGCAGAGATCAGTCAGGAATCAATAAGGAATCAGTGGGGTGACGAGTTACTGCTAGCATTGTAGCACAAATCTACCTGAACCATCTTTGTGCCTCCAACACCTAATTAAAAACAGGATCTCTTTCCAGTTCTCAAGCTCAGATGCTTCTAAAACAATCCACCTCTCCAACAGTCTAAATAGGCTCACTTAATTATGGATATAGTAGAAGAACCCTTATTACATCTTATTGCCTTACAGATAATAATCTTCAGTATAGCAGCTCCATGTACAGAAGTCTGATTAAGCCCTAACCAGCTGAACACACTGTTCACTGGCAAGAAGCAGCACTTCACAGCAGTGTTTGCTCCAAAGCATCTCTCCTACATTTTATGCTCTTGAATCTTTGCTGTAAGGAAGTTTATAGCCCAGGTACCAAACACTGGTGTACATTCTAGTCAGTCATACCTAAAGCCCAAGGATACATTAATTCTCTGTATTCACAGACCCACTACTTTCCAAACAAGCCTCCCATACTTTTATTCCCTGGGCAGAATAATGCATCACGGCTGCAGCCCACAATACAAAGTCTTCCTCTTTTGTACTTTTCCACTACGTCATCATTCTAAACATCCACTTCTTTCCCAAGTACAGAAGCAGAATGCTTGCCTAGGAGGAAAGAAGGGCAAAGAGAATTCTCCTCCAGAGGAGCACCAAGCATGCAGGATTTTGGCAGCAGAATGCTACAGAAATTAAAGGATACTTTACATAAACTATACTTTAAATTATGCATTTTGTAGCTTTAAAACCAGATGTTTTTTACTGCAGGCTAAAAAGATTACCTAGAAAATGGATGGAGGCTCTGAAGCAGGGCTATGACAACTTGCTAGTCTTGTCTGGTCTTTTTTACTCCCAATACAAACACACTCAGCACTACTGCAAAGAGCTGGATGCAGATGTGCAATATCCCAGCCTTGCTTATGGGCTGATCTGAAGAGCTCTAGTAAGAACACTGCCATCACTTTTCAGTCTTCTGCCTGGTAGAAAAAAACTACGGCCTTAGCATAATTAATCTCAATATTTGTTAAGATACACTTTTTCATTTATAACCTAACCGTAATCCAACTTTCAACCTAAATTACACACAGGCAAGCTTTTTATTTTTGCATTAAAAAACATAATTACCATTTGCTGCAGAATTTCTGAGCAGAGAACTGTAAAAGCCAGAAGATTTTTTAATTATAGCAATTGAGAATTAAAAAAAATCCAGCTCCAAATTAACATTCAGCTCTGCTGTTAACACATCACACTTTCCTGCAGCAGGGTTGTTTAGGTAAACACCTTCAACACAAAGTTTAAGAAATTATAATGACTACATATTGTGTATATTCCCCTGTGCCCAACACTGCCACAGTGGTTAAACTGCTATTACTGAGGATGACAGCAAGGAACTTGAAAGGGTTTCTCCCTTTATACTGATGGTCATGTTTCTCAGGTATGTGATGGAACAATTTAGTCAAGTTAGAACAAGGATGTAGTTAATCAGCTTTAAACAATCACCTTTGTATTTATAGTGTGACAAGTGTGGGTGGCCTGTAGTGTAGTGTGAAATGCTTTGCTGATGTTAAGGGGAACTTAAAAAAGCACAACCCAAACCATACAATGTAAACACTAACACAGCTACCTGTACTGAGAGAAGTGTATAAATAATGACAGCTAGTATCCTAAACACTTTAAAACCAAAACAAAGCCAAAACAGCTTGAGCAGATAATCCTTGACCAATACTACTACAAAAGGAGAGTGAAATTCAAAGCTGTTTCAGAAATGCTGCTGCTCTTTGCATACATGAGCTTTTTATAAGCTATAGTGCATGCTCCATAGAATTTCAGACTGGCTTGGGTTGCAAGTGACCTTAAAGTTCATCCGCTTCCAACCCCTTGCCATGGGCAGGGACACCTTCCACTAGACCAGGTTGCTCCAAGCCCCTGTGTCCAACCTGGCCTTGAACACTGCCAGGGATGGGGCAGCCACAGCTTCTCTGGGCACCCTGTGCCAGCGCCTCAGCACCCTCACAGGGAAGAGCTTCTGCCTAAGAGCTCAGCTCAGTCTCCTGTCAGGTTAAAGTCATGCCCCCTTGTCCCATCCCTAAAGGACCTTGTCAAAAGTATTTATTCATAGACTATAAAGGAACATTAGGAAACTTACGAAGTCATCTTCTGTAACGAAAATCTAAGTCCTCTGCTTTTAGAAACATAACCTTTTTACTCTGCTAGCAGTCTTAATGAGCCATTCTCCAAGTTCAGTCTGGGAATACAAGCAACTAAATTCCAGACCACTGCACCTCCTTCTCATTTGTATATAAACAATGCTAAAACTGCCACTACTACTTATATATAATGCTGAATTTCAGTGTGGTACATGTGAAAACGAGCCAAAGGTCTCTGGTGTCCTCCCCTATACATTCTTCAGCCTCTTTCAAAGAAGAGCTCAGAACTATCAACACCAAATGTAAGAAAGCAAAAGGATGGGAAAAAATTATTAAGAAAAAAAAATTAAGAAAAATTATCAAAACTTCTCAAATTGAAGAAAATGAGGCTTCCTTCTTCCTGCAATTCATATACCTAACTGCAAATACTGAAACCAATGAGTCGAGTTTCTTTCAGTATCAAACTATCAGGACAACCAAATGTGGGCCTCAATTGCTTTCCATTTTTGGAGTCAACCTTGTTCTTCTTACAGCAAAAATGGGAAAATAACATCTGAAGTTATTTTTACCGTAACTGCATCTCCCCTCCCTTGCAAGGTAAAGTACTATAGTGAAATGCCAACACTTCTCATGCCTGAAAAGGCCAAGCTGTCTGGAGCTTTCTATTTACCTACAAAAGACACCACAATCATATGTAGGTCTTCTGAAAAGAAGTTCATTTAATAACCATTGATATTGTTACTTCGCAAAGATATTTAACTAGACAGCCTGGGAGACAACCAGTAGAACTGGCAGAGCTTTAGGAGGCCACTTCTCACCACGTCTGTGCTTTCCAAGTCCTCTGCTGCATGCTCTCAACAGGGATTAAGCACCCAAATCCAGTACCAGAATATAGGCCACCAGTCTGAAGGCCATAAAGAGGTCTCTGTTCACTTACTGCATCCTTTTCTCTTAGATATGCCAATTTTTGTGAGAATAATCATTAAGATCTCAAGAACAATTAACAAGAGAGAACACACGAAGGTGGCACCTCAGTCACAAGGGAGACTCTCAGGTATGTTTTATCTGTGCTCCCAAGCAGTTTCTGCCAAGAGTTACCAGTAATTATTCTTTAAGGCATATAATATTGAGGTAATAAAAGCCTCAAGGCTGCTTGGCTGCAAACACTGGACTGCAAAAGAATAGCCAGAAAAAAACCACTACCCCACTCCCTGGACTCACGACACTGCATCTGGAATCACTGTGTCCCATTTTGAACTCCCCAGTACCAGATATATGAACAACCTGGAATGAGCCCAGCAAACAGCTGCCAAGATAGTGTTAAGATCAGAGCACACACAGCACAAGGAGTTGAGGGACCTGGATTTGTTCAGCCTGGAGAAGAGAAGGCTGAAGGTGGGGACCCTACTGCTGTCTACAGCTCTACAAGGAGATGGAACTGGGCTCTTCTTAGAGATACACAGTAATTGGTTAAGAGACCACAGACAAGCTGAGAAAAGATAAATTATTACCTGGAAAACAAATAATAAATAAATCACAACAAAAGTAGTTAAACATCGAAGCAGAGGTCCAGAGAGGCAGTGGAGCCTCCATCCTAAGAGATACTGAAATGCCATCTTTCCCATGCATTAACCAACCAAATCCAACTTTTACACTACCTCAACTTTAAGCAGGAATTCAGATGACCCCCAGAAAACTAGCCAACCAAGATTTTTCTATAACCCATGATATTTTAGTACCAGATAGAAGATGCTTGCTTAGCGTCAACACCAAGTTCCCTCTGAAGTCCTATTACCTGGAAAGGAAATCTAAACTGACAACTATTAGCTTAATGACAAATACTTACCACCATATTGTAGGCATCAGGAACTTCAGTTTCAAACTGAAACTTTCCACCTTGGTAATAGCCCTCATCTAAAGGAGAAGAAAAACAAGGATAATAGTTAAGTAAAAGAACAGACACCATATAATACAAAAGATCTGTCATTACAAAGATTAAAATAATGGCACAGAGTTATCATAAAACACTTAACCTAGTTATACCGTAACACTAGCTGCCACCCAGCCCCGAAAGAGTATGAACATGGTCTCTTCCTCCACTCTCAACACCTGTACAGCAGGAATTTTAAGTCAGAAGAGTTAACAGTCTCAGAATGACACTGGAAAGTCTACCTTCCTCATCAGACTACCAGGCAATACTGAGACAGAGGAACCTTTGATGGAACTTCTTGCGTCTGTATGAACACAATTCGGCAACACATCAGCCACGTAGCACGCAGTACCACAACACCAACCCTTGAAACAGGCTGGATACATACTCCACTTGCTAATGCTAAATCCTACTAGTACATCTTGTGCTAGCAATCACATAACAGGAGTAGTATGAATAATGGTGTGCAAGAGCATTCTTCGAAGTGTACCACAATAAAAGAGCGAGTTTACTCTTTTATTGTAGTTACCTTAGGATAATCTATCAGTTAGGAGTCTGTCAGCCTCAGACTCAATAGTGAATTATTAAAATAGCTAAATTTTAAAATCTGAAAATATCTAGTTGCAGCTGACCAGAGATAACACAGGATAGCAGCCAGCCTGCAACTCTTGAGAAGGCTGTGACTGGAAGCAAAAATGCTTACAAGTGGTCTGAAAAGTGCCTTCCATTGAGAAAGGGAAACAGATAGGTATCCAGCCCACACTGGGGGTGTGGGACATCTAAGGAATGATTAGGCTCAAACCACCTTGTGTACTCTAGCTCTCTGTATCACACAGTGTAGCCATGGTGAAGGCCTGAAGGTAAGGAAGGCTGTTTATGACTGTATGACAGTATATTTTTTAAAGCAACTTTACAAAGGAAAGTTATGTGAAGTGGTCCATAGTTTACAGAAAGTTTTACTATCTTGCTTGTTCCAAACCACTAAAACAAAATAGATCCTCTAATGCAGGTCATCAGAATCCTTATTCAGGATGCTTGCTGTCTTCTGGACTTGCTGCATTACCAGTCCCTATACAGATCTAGCATGACCTTCTATTTCCTATTACCAACTACTGCCCCATATCACTTGCTTGAGTTTCAGTCCATGCTACAATCTCACCACTGTCAGCATAAGCCTGTAGCTTCCACACTGCAACTGCCATAATCACAAGAGAGCAGTCAGCTCCTGCCCTCCTCCTCTTTGCAACCTCTTACCAGCTTGCTTACTGAAAACAAGAGGGGATCACCCTGTCAAATAACACAAATCCTCAGTTATAGCGGGAAGTAAGCCCGTAAAAGCTGATGCTGCCAAAAGATGAGGCTCAAATGCACACTACACCACTCCAAAGGATCTGTGCCTGCAGAACAGCAAAAGAGCTGCTGGGACAATATCACAGTCCAGCTTCTCCCAGGAGCCTGTATAGACTGCAAGAGGTTCAGCACATGAACAGCATCAGAAAGTTTGGGCTTCAACAGTAACACAGGCACAGTGCAGAAACAGAGTGTGGCTGGTATTTCCCACCCCACCTAGTGATGTTTCCAGCTGCCTCCACACTCAGCTATGCAAGCTTTAGCCATTGCAAATCTCAGTTTAATAACCTGGCCAGAATACAGGCTTTTCAAACACGTTCTCCATTGCCACTCCAATCCAGCTTTGAAGTGCGTTTCATTTATCAAGCAGACTTTTCATGCCCCCTTTGCTCAACCAGAAAGTAAATGCACATGCACTGATTTTTATGGAAAGAAAAAAAAAAAAAAGGCAAGACGAAAGCATTTATCTTTTGTTGTCAAGTATCCCAAGTTAAAAATATTGTAAAGAAGCCATTTCTAATGAATGAGATGTAAAAGCTGAGTTATACAAATATCCCTTTGATGAAACTGCTCCCTGTCAAATGGGCAAAATATTTGAAGCAGGACACTCACTGTTCCAGGAAGGAATGATAAGAAAAATGGTTCATCATTTCCCAGGAGCTCAAACAGCTGAGACAGCACCACATTACCTTCCCGGTCACAGCTAACTGCACTTTATTCACCATCTAGCACACCGTAATAGCTTTTCAACAAAGTGTCAGAAATCCTCACTATTTCCGAGTATGATGTCATCCTCTGTAAAAAACACAGTTGGAATCATCTCTGGTCAGGACTCTGTGACAGGACTAAAACAAGCCACACCACAGAGGAATTAAGTGCTTATTACAGTGCAAGCCATGTACCCCAAAGCCTTCCATGGGCTCACAAGCCCTTCTCAAGCAATCACATGAAATACCCACGTGTGTTTGCATAGGGAGAAGCCTGCTGCAGGTATAGAAAGGTAAAGGAGAAATGCCAGCATTTAAGGTTGCTCAAGAAGTCAGGCAGCAAAAAGTTACTTTCTTTGGCTTATTTTCACTGGTTCCTTTTTGTGGACTTAAAGTGTGCAGACTTTGTGGATTTTGTGGACTTAAATTGTGCGGCAACAACTCATATTCTACCCCTCTTCATGTGAAATAGATGCCTGTTGATGGATGTGCCTTATGTAAAAGAAAATCCTCAGATTTAATGAATCCTCACTGTAATACAATTGTCCTAAAGAAACATTTGAGAATGGCTCCCAGGGAGAAGAGCATGCCAAAAGACCGTAACATTCCTGCCAGTCAAGCAGCAAGACTAAAGCTATGTTCCACATCTCTGCACTCCAAAAGCATGAGGCCCACAGCCTCGGCAGTATGCAGGAACATTAAGGTAGGTCCTTGACTTCAAGCACAGACAAAGATCACTCTGGCATTGCTCAAGAGATGCATGGGTTGAGGAAAAAAGCTGAATAGTTGGTCTTCATTTTCTCTGCTCTTCCCCATCATGCAGACCTAGCTCAGGATAGCTCCACTTCTACCCAGCTCTGGAAGAAATTCCCAGTGTCCATGTGCAGGATGATATCAGAAAAGGCAAGTTCAGCTGGAGGGTACAAGACCAGCTGAGCCTCTCTCAGTGTGTAAAACCATGACCACAAAAAGAGTGCAGTTTCCTGCAGGATTATGGAGATGAAATGGCATGCAGAGAGTTAAATTATCAGCAGAAAAGCAGCAGCAGGACCAGGTAGTGAAACAACACTCCTTTTCCTTAACAAAATCATGTTTCATATTAGCTCAAGCACTTTGTAACCACATATTAACACCTCCATAGGCTGTAAGAGATACCTCATGTATTAACTGTTTTGTCTCATTCATCTTCCTGTGTTATATGTAAGGCTGAAAAATCTCTGGAAGACTTGGAGCACTTTACACACTGTGCCTTGCACTGCAGGTCATTTCCACATACTTTCGTGATGAAGTCTCCCTCAAAGTCAACTCAATGCTAAACACTGTCTTGCATTACAACTCATTTTATGTTTCAGGTTTCCCTTGGCATCAGTCTATACTAGCAGTAACAAAGAAATACACTGAGTATGCTACTGGTTCTGTTACAAAATGAGCAAGAATGTATTTGCCAAAATAGAAGCGTAAAACATCTCTCCTCCCTCCTTCTTTACAGTTCTCCCTGTATGTTTGTAAGGTTTTCACTAAAGCCACAATAAAGCATGTTACTCATTACCCATCACACAAAGGTATATTAAACATTCATATCTCTGAAGAATCTCAGTACCCAGCCAGAAATCTTGCAAGGCATTAACAAGATAAGCCTTCAGAATCAAGTCAGCTTACAGCATGTCAAGGAAGTAAACAGGCTCTTCCACATGGTAGTTTCCTTCCCTGTGTCCCACAGCATCCACACAGACTAGGATAAAGACCCTCAATTTTTTAGGTATGGAACAGGGGTGGGAAAAACTCAAATTCTGGCAGAGTTACTGATGAGGAAAGTACTACAATTCAAACATAAAACTGTCAAATAAAATAGCTTTAGCACATAACTTAAGAAGTCGACCAGTGATGAGACTTTTGCAAAAATGTGAGCTCCAGTTTTCCTCCTACCACTTAAATTTATGTCTTCAAGCTGCATTAACAGCCAGCATCTCTCCCACTTCAGTCTGAAGTTTCATTATCAACAACTTGACTATAATCTGTTTGTATTCATAAGGTGTTTTGATGGCTGAAACTGCTGTGAAAATACTAAATCAAATCATTTTATCACTTTAAAAGAAAATGCAAGATAATTAGGACAGGCCACAAAGGATATGCTTTTGATATCAACTCCTTGAATTCGCAGCACTGAAATGCTCAGCCATGCTCACTGAGATTTGTCATTTCACAGCACACAAAACAGAGAAGAGGCTCTTTATTAATTCCCTGAAGAACTGGGCTCTAAAATAACCACACTAAAACCCGACTACTCCCAACTGTCTGGAAACTGCAGTAATACTGCATTAGCTATACACATTCCTATAGTTTTTTTCATGCGTAAGCTACCTAAAACTCACCTTCTTCATTTTTTTTTCCAGGTCATTACCATGTTTTCGTCTCAAATTCCAATTTTGTGCTCCAAATATCAGTGCAGCAGGCAGCACTCTGCCTGCATTATAAGCATTTCCTTATTTTTCCTAGGTTTTGATCCAAGTGGTACTACTGGTGCAAAAACAACAACAGAGCCAAGTGTCTGTCTAAAGCATTTTTTTAAAAGAGCAATTGTTTCAGAAGACAAAAGGAAGAAGCAGCTTCAGACAACAGAGAAAGGCAGCAGTATCTGCCTCACTAACACACAGTTTGTCTACTGTAGCAGTAAAATCTAAGTCTTGCCCATTTTCTAAGATATATCCACTCAAGGTGTACTGCAGAAAGGTATAACATTAAGGAATTCCAATTTCTTTAATTACACAAAATCATCAGTTGCCCTTGGCAAGATTTTCTGCAAACACAGTTAATTTAAAAACTCACTGTCACCAGGATAATTTTGTGACATTAAATACTTGTAAGAAAGGTTATTATGAGAAGTGCAGACCAAGGGAGCTGAAGTAATTTTGCTTTAGTGATAAAAGTTTATTTTCTTACTCAAATTAGTCTTTTGGTAAGAATTTAAAGAATTCTTTCTCTGCCCTTTCAAGCCCAGACTGCATGAAACGAAGCACCAAGCACAGGCTTTGTCAATAACATAAGTCTAGAACACTGACCACAAATGGCATTTCTAGTGTTAAAAACCATGTTCAGTCAGTACCTCCATGGAACCCTGACAGCCAGCTTCTTCCAGAAACTGGCTTGGTGTAAGATTCCTTATAAAAATGTGGTTACAGAATTCAAGCTCTCATATTAATCAGAATATATGAGAATTTAAACATTAGATATGAAAAGAATTAACACTGCTCTACCAGATCTACCATATAAGGATGCAACCTCTGTACCTACAGATAAGCAAACTGAGAACCCCAAGGGAGCCAGCAAGAGCCTCCTTCCTGCACAGACTACCAACCCTGGTTTATACACGTGTACTGCATAGGTCCTAAATGGGAACTGCACGGCAGCATTAGATATTCCCTGGCACCCGCAGCTGTGCTGAGCACAGCTCTTGATCCATGATTGGAAAGCTGCAGAGGTATTTGCAAAGTGCTCCCTGAAGAGGCAGATGCATGAGAAGGATTTCTAGAAGGAACTCAGTTCCTCAATGCAAGAGAGAGTTACAAGCAAGAGGAAAGCAGCATCTTCCTCTGGGCTATCAAGATTCATGGAACATTGTTTAGACGCTACAAAAATAGCTGGCTCAAGCAAAGATTTTTGGGCCATTTGAGCCAGAAAAAAAATCTGTGATGACCACCTACCTGCCTCTGCTATCCCAAAGAAAACCAAGATTTAGCATACTCTGAAGAAAAACCTCAGTAACAAAGGCAATCAGAAAGCTACAAAGATTTTCTTGGCATGAGTTCCATTTTGCCTTTGGAGAGCTGTGCTAAGCTGTATCTGATCCCAAGATTCTGTACCTGAATTATGCACAGCTGAAAATAGATGTTTACTTAAGTCAGACTGCAACTGTAGAGGCTTCAGCTGTGCAGCTATATTTAGAGCAACAACATGTTAATTAAGATCATATCATTCCCAAGATCATTTCAGCAAGGAAGCTAGCACAAAACCCATGCTCTGCATTCAACTACTGTCTTCTGACTGCAACATCTTCCTGCACAGCAGTTAACAGAACATAAATATCTATGTATTTAGATATTATAGAATTAGGATGAAGAAGCTATCATTGCTTCACACCCCTAACTCACGCAGTGATGATCTTGTAAAGTCAACTCCTTTGCAAAACATAATAAAGCAGCATCACATAAACTGGGACAAGACTAATGCTCACCAAGTAAGCATGAGCACATCTCCTACACAGAATGAGAGGTTAAAAGTCCTGCAACAACACCTCATTTATTCTTTATTTACAGTGACTAGGGCAGTCTTACTCATTTTCCCATCACAAAAAGGAGTCACATGAATGGACATGCTAACAAAGACCACCCAAGATCTTCACTGCTGAGGGAAGTCCTAGTGGATTTTAGACAAGAAGCAGCAATAGCGACATCTAGTGCTCATTTGACTTCAAGAGACTGGATTATGAGAAACATTTTACTACCCTTTGAAGGGTAAACCTTGTTTCTATAGGTAAAACATCAGGATGACTGCCATACTGCACTGGAATTCTGCTGAAAATGTGCCTCTACAAGACTTAATTGGCAGGGAGATATTGATCCTGACACATGTAACTCAATTCAGTGTACTGCACGTGTCCATGTTCCTATTTAAGTATTTGCAGAGTCTCAAAGGCAAAACATCAAAAATAAGTGACCATGAAGTTTAAATAATCTTCCATGAAAATTCATCCATAAAACACAAGCAGAACTTTCTCTCCTAAAATGGACAGCTATCTGAGCCATTTCAGATGGCTATTAAGAAGCTTATGTGGAAACAGTAAATTCTGAAAACATTTTTATTGAACAGCATACCAGAAGCTTCAGTGTGCTTAAGTTGCATTAATAATAGAAGATATTTCCACATACTTCAGTATTCAAAGACTAAGAGGCTCCTACTCGTTAAGCATCGTCAGACATGCATAGATGTGAAGTCTTCCAGCAGCATTATATATGTCATCTATCTCTTTACCTCTGCAGAGTCAAGCAACCAGTAAGAAAAGAATAAATTTGTAACAGGGTTGTAGTACAGCAATTTATCTAGATGTGGTGCAAATAAAGCAAGGTGGTCTGAAATCAACCAAGAGGAAAAAAAAAAATAAATAAATTCAAAGTGAACAAACAAGACCTGATGATTTCCTAAACCTGCTCAGTTTTGATGGCCTTCTTTGGAATCTACTACCCAAAATCCAGCCCAGTTTCTCCACTGCCCCTATATAACGACTGTATTACAGCCAGTTTTTTACTAGAAAGTTTACTGGATTCTTGAGCAAACTCTTGGAATAATGTTTCCTTATCATGAGCACACACAAAACCAAAAGTAACATTCAAAAAAATTACCTGGGGTTACAGTTAGCTGAAAGTAATGAAGCTTGTTTGGGTCAGGAAAATTCACTTTACATGTACCTGTGAAGCAAAAGTATAATTTAGATCAGAAAATCGGTTTTCCACTGCTGGGAGATCAAGTATATCATCTTTCATATTCTCCAAATTCACTCCCTGATTAATCCCTACCTTCCAGTCAAGTGATTTCCTCTTACACTTTGTCTCTAAGCACCTCCTCCCTGTACTGTTACAGGTCACCTGCAGTAACGGAAATCCACTTCGAGCTAAGAAACTTATTTCCTTTCAGTAATCCATGGTGTCTCAAATAGCTTAAAATGCCAAAAGATTTGGTTTTCTGCATAGATCACAGCTGCATGTTGACAACATACAGAATACGAGCATCTCTTTCCTAGAAGTTCTTTAATGTTAATGTGTGTATCTTAACATTTGATCATACACTGCAGCCTGCAAGAGGTCATGCCTCCGTGGCCCAATGTTCACAAAGGATTATTTATACCTGTAGGGTATAATGAGACACAAGCTTTACTAAAAGCCTCATCCAAAAGCCAGCTCAGCTGTCACACTGAACAAGTTTCTTCTGTATAACCAATTACATGCATTAACATATAGAGCATCATTACAAACCACACATATTTTATTCTCAGACTAGAAGGATTTAAAGAGAACAGCGACAATGAAGAAGTGTGGAAAAAAACCCAGCAACCTGATAAAATTAGTCAGTGGTTTCAGTTCAACAGATGTAAGTTCACAGCATAAAAGCTCTTTGTTTGCATTTCATGACAGAAACCAAGTTGGCTTCCCGTGCACAAAACTGGCCTTTCTTGACCATGGAAGCGACAAGCTGTCAATCTGGCACTAGAAGGTGTATATATGCATGGATACGCTATTATTCATATTATACAGCCTTTAGCTTCTTAACATATCAGGCTGGCTATTCTTTTTCTGTAATCAAGCAGCCAAATAGTATCAGAGATATAGACCCTATCTGCCTGAAAAGATAACTAGAACTAGACACAAACCCTAGTAATGCATTCACATTGTAGCAACTACAAACCCTGATGTGTTCCTCAGGTGTTTGTTATCCTAAAGAAGAGTCTACAGAAAAAAAAGTTTGTTATTCTGTGAAATCTCTGTAACTGCCTTCAAGAAAGAAGAACACAAAATAACGCCTCTTCCTGACATCCTTTTTACTGCTTCTATTGTGTATTTTTTGCCCTTGTAACTCCTTTCATCAGGCAGACTATACAATGAAAAGCCTGATTTTTAAGTTCTGAATATTGACCTGGATTTGGAATCATTAGCAAATAGAAGATACTCATCAGAAACAGTATTGAGAATTATTCTCTCAACACCTGGAGAGAAAAATACATGGTCAAAGCTCCCCTTAACTGGGGAAAGACTCGAAACATTACAAGCTACCTGCAAGTATAATTGCAGAGAATGTTCACTGGTTTTCTTGCAAGATAAGCATATGGACAAGACAGTGTGAATGCACAGCACAGTAACAGCCTGCACATATATTCACAGTCTGTAGCAAGCAGCTCCTGCCTCTCTCCCTGCAGGGAAAACTGTCTTAGGTTACTCTGAAACAGGAATGTGCACCACAGGAAGTTCTGTAGATCAAGCAACTGAACTTGCTTACACAAAAATTTGTTGTGCTCGCCTGTATTCTAAGAACTCATGGTAGAATGACGCTGCTCTGGTCAACACTAGAAAAGAAAGAGAGCTCAGCAGCAGCTCAGCTTCACTGTCAATACCCAGCCTTAGAAACAAACACAGAGCAGTAGGAACTTTACTCCTCTTTATAAAAGGGCTTTGTGATTTGCTGTCCATTACAGAACTAGGCTTTCTAAAGCAAAGGAACAGAAAACACTTGATTTTTAATTACCCGCCCTCAGCTCTAGAAGCAACAAGCCATTTATTTACCTTGTGCTCTTAAATGACTACTTTAAACTGGCTATTAATATTTTCAGCTTTTAGCAGCATAACATCCATTACAAGTAACATGCCAGGCCTAAAATCACATAATCTTACCTTTTATTTTTATTAAAGGAATACGGATCACTTTAAAAAAAAAAAACAACACAAAAACCAAGACTACTTTTCATGAGTATTTTCAGTACCACATATGAGGTTACAGATTGCATGGGAAAAAGCACTAGGTTGATTTCATGTGTTTCCTGAGAAACTGGTTATTTTCTGAACCAGATCTCCTATTCTGAAAAAGAGGGAATGGAGGAAGAACAGGAGTGAGGTTATAAATGCACTCTTCAGTTCCAGGTACCTTTTGGGTGGTTTATAAGAGGGAAGCTCCCACTCTACCAGCAATCAAATTTTGGAGCCAAATACTCAATACTGCTTCCAAAGTATACTAACTGTACTCACTACAATCCCTTAAGAGGGAGCAACACAGAAAATGAGTGGCAGAGTTTTGCATAGCTTTCCTTCCATTAGCATTCATACTTCAGTCAAAACATTCAGTTCTACAGTCCTTTTCCCCTTAAAAAGCATGCCATTAAATGTTATACTTACAAGGTAAATTAGCTTCAAGTTCTGCAACCTCTGTTGAAAGAAGAAAAAAATCAACTGTTATTTATGCAAGCAAAACGCCATTCCTGAAGTCCAAATAGTCAAATCTTGATTTAAACCACTCTGTAAATCAAATTTTACTTAAAAATATAATTAAGCTGCAATGGAAATTTGCCTTGAAATTTCTCTTTAAGCACCACAATTCATTACTAAAAACTCTCATCTGCCCTACAGTCTAATGTATCCTACTGTGATTAGGAGATTCAGCTCTGCCAAGACTGAAGTGCCAGGGCTTCTAATACCCAGAGCACTGGCATTTAAAAAGGTGGCATTATCCAAACCCCCAAACTTGTATATATACGGCACTAAAATCTGGAAGGCCAGAATTCCACAGCCTGCAAAACACAAAAGCAGAAAAACCTCAAGAATCAAGGTGCCAGTCCAATGATTAAAACAAGCACAGGAGGTTCACAGCCTGCATGAGCATCAGCACCATCTGCAGTATCTAACTGTTAAAGCTCTTCTACCATCAGCTAAGACTGCCTCAGGTCATGCACTGTTTTGTACGGAAGCCTCCAAGCACGACAGCACATACTGCACACTTGAAAACAGCTACTGAAACCCTAATTCAAGGGCACTGCCAGATGTGGTCCTGTGTGCAGAAATCAGCATCAAGAGCACCAAAAAACAGAGCAAGACAAACCTTCACTTCAAGCACCTGGTAGGATAAAATGCACTGGTCAGCGCATCCACTGTACTCCCCTCAAACCTCTGCACTGTCAAATTCAGGAGTGTTACGATTTTTCTTTTTTGCTCCAGTGTCTGTTGGGTATTTCATCTGGGAACACAGTTTGTTATAGATACACACTCCAATTAAATTTTATTATATTTCCCATGCATAAAACTTAGAAGGTACTTACAAAAGAAAAAGTAACCAGTCAGCTGCACAGCTCCTAGGAAGGGAAGCACATTCCCTTTCTCTACCATGCTATCTTCTCTGGAAGACTCACTGCTTTCTCCCTGTATGTGTATTTCACTGAAGTCTTACTTTCAATTACTTTTATTTCACAGAAATATGAATGAGATGCATCAAGATAGCTCTTCTGCCTTTACTTCTAAAGTTCTAGGAAACTTAAATAATATATATTATTATATATTGTCACGATATTATTATACAGTGTCACGAGGATGGAGCCAGGCTCTTCTCAGTGGCAAACAATGAAAGGACAAGGGGTAATGGGTACAAATTGGAGCACAAGAGGTTCCACTTAAACCTGAGAAGAAACTTCTTCTCAGTGAGGGTGACGGAACACTGGAACAGGCTGCCCAGGGAGGTTGTGGTATCTCCTTCTTTGGAGACATTCAAAACCCGCCTGGACACGTTCCTGTGTAACCTTATCTAGGTGTTCCTGCTCCGGCAGGGGGATTGGACTAGATGATCTTTTGAGGTCCCTTCCAATCTCTAACATACTGTGATACTGTGATATATGTTTTTGCATTTCCTGTAGGGTTTTTCCCACCACCACCACTTGATTCCTAACTTTGCTTTCTGGTCTGCATAGACACAGCCCATTAATTTGGGCTACCAACAATGTTTAAGAGTTCAACGCCAACTCTGAAAAACACAAATCTAAAGAAAACTGTAATTCAGTTTAAGATATAGGGAGCTATTTCTTGGTGCAGAACCCAAACTCATCACAACTAAGAATTCCCTAATTCCCCAGAATTTTCCTTGCATTCATGCTTATCAAACCTGGCTGGGCTCCGCAATGAGCATGATGCATATTTGACTCCCACCTCCCACTTGCTTGGCACAGCCCTGGTAGTCCTACATCTGCAGCCTACTATACTGAGAGAAAACCCCACCAAACTGGAAGCACTGGTTCACACATACCTAAAAAGTTCACAACTGCACTCTAAAATCCCCGACAACACCGGTGACATGCTTCTGCTGAAAGTTTTGAAAGAGAACTGCCTTTAAAAGGTACCAAAAATTTAATTTCAGCTATAATCAAGGAGGGTGGGATGCATAACCAGAAAGTAAAACTAAAAACATGGCATTAACCAACTACTGGAGGCTTCAGCTATACAAATGCATTGTAGGAGTATTCCCCCACTCCTTTCCCTTTAAACTCACCAGCCTTTCATAGTGGGAGCCACTATTAATCCTCAGTAGATGGTAGAGTTTAGGAGCCAGCTCTTATTTAAGGAGTTGGCCGTTTTCCTTACTGCTTTCTATGCTTCTGTTGTTTGGCTTTAATAAATCCTGCCCACCCTTTGTTTCAATCCTGGGAAAAGGGCAGAAGGGCAAACAGGAACACCAATGGACAGCACATGGTCAAACCCAGCAATGAAAGGGATGAGCTGGGGCTTCACTTCTGCCTCCTGCAAGGGTCAGAGTTAACTGATCCTCATAGATCCTTTGAAGTGTGAAGACTTCCTGTAGTGCATTCACTGTGTTTCCCTTTGTTTTTTCATAATGATTGGATTTTCCTGTGAAAACATGAAAATGATGGTGCTCACCCACACCCATGAGGATGGAACAGTGTGCTTGCTCGCTCTTCGTACGTGTGCAGACACGGGGGGTTGGGAGGTTATGATAACTAATAACTTTGTGAACAAAGGCAAGTTCCCCAAAATTAAGGTTTCTAATCAACTCTGCAACAAAACACAAATTAAAAACAAAACTTTATAAAAATTAAAAAAAAAAAAAAAAGCCAGCAGTCAAAGACCTTCAATAATCTAAAATTTTAAAATAACATCAAGTAAGGAAACATGTTACTACTAAGTGTGCCACATAAACATTGATTAACAATAGCTAGGCACATTTAATGGACCAAAGCTATAATGTTCAAGTTTTCCAAATTCTGTGACTCTTTGGTAATGACAGTCTTGACACTGAAATTATTTTTGTAATTTGCTTCGGCACTGACACAGGGTGCCCAGAGAAGCTGTGGCTGCTCCAACCCTTGCAGTGTTCAAGGCCAGGCTGGACAGGGCTTGGAGCAACCTGCTGGCTCCAGCTGGAACTGAGGGAGCCTTTAGATCCCTTCCAATCTAAACCATTCTATCATTCTATTATTTTGACTAGATCATTCAAGCTCCATTAACATTCTGATGTTTTAAGTTATGTATTTTCTACATAAAGCAATACCGCTAACAAGAATATTCTCTGTAAAAAATTGCCCCTTGTGCAGTCTGCCAACTTACTGTCAGGGTTTAACAGATTTTTTAAATAAGCAAAATGTAGAAACAGCAACCAGAGCTCCAACACACTGAACTTCCGACAGCTACAAAAGCCTCAGTAAATTAAAGAACAAACTTCATCTCAATTTCACATCCTCTTTCAAAAAACTCACTACAGTTGGAACAGTAAAGAAAATCCAATCTGTGTTTCATATTTTATGGCTAATCAGTACCTGTGTCTCAATTCACAACCAGGCACTACACCGTTCCTTAAGATGACAAGACAAACCAGTAGATTTAACCCACATGTCAGGAAATATTGTGCAAGAACACTCCAGAACTTCCACGGGAAAATGGCAATCATCACCAGCCACTCAGTGAGCATCTCACTTCCTCTCACAATCAAGGGGGCTATTGCCAGGAAGCAGAAAACTGCACAGCCCTGCACCCACTCTGATGAGCCATCCTGGGTAGGTCTGAAAGGCCTGAAGTGTAGACACATGCCAGAGCTTTTACAGGATAAAAACTAAGATAGGTACAGCCATCCCAAACCCAGATCAGCCCCTGACCACACAGTCTGGTGTTCCTCAGACCTTGTGTGATCTGGTGGAGAAGCACACTCAAGTGGCATGTATATTTGTAGTCCTGCTCTTGACTCAGTATGCACTTGCTTGAACAGATCCAAATTTTATTTTAAACCATTAAAAAGGGTAAGGGTTAAACTCAGACTTTTGGAAGAGCTGAATGCAAACTGATTATGTCTCAGAAGCAGTTCAGGAACTTTATAAACCAGGTGAGAGCTAAACTTAATACAAGCAATCAAGGCTATTTATAAATGATTTCACAAACAATAACTACTCATGACAATTCTCAGGATAGAAATAGGAACACACGCTCCTGACATGTGTACAGGCATATGGTTTATGAGACCCACGTGGATGTTATATTCAGTACCATGCAGACTGTATTCATGTTATTCTGCTCCTTCCCCACCCCAACTCAACAAGTCAGAATATAGACACGCTTTGTTTACTAGCATTGCCGCAGAGTCAGGCTGTATGCTTCCCACTGGGTTTTGTTTTGAAGTACACAAAGTGAAAGCATTATTTCCTCAACTGGAATGAACGTTCTTACCCACAGCAAATACTTACTTCTCTCTGATTTTGTCCAAAAAGTCCCTTCTTCTATTTAGTCCCTCTTTAATGTACATCTTTAATACTGCTCAGAGATGAAGAGAAATACCTTAACACTCTGACAAAAGTATTAATTCCAGCAGTATAATGCCGTTTGCCTCCTAATCTCATCCATCTATCTATATAGCTTTCCCTATTTAGCTCCTCAACTATACAGAACAGTATTAGAAGCCAACCAAGCCACACAATGCTGCCAGTTTAGAGTAAGAGATGCGTATTCTCCTTCCACTTCCAAATGTTTGCTTGAAACAAGACACCATCAAATCCCATGCTTCAGTTTCTATACAGTATTACAAAATGTATTACCCTGACATCAAAACAACAGAAAAAGCCACTGTGGTTGGAAATCTCTTAACTCTGCAATACTTCATGTATGCTGAAAATCAGAGGCATCAGAAGTGAAGAATCAGGCACTGAATCAGGCCTCCCTTTGTCAGTCATGTTCTAGGAAAAGTCTCCAGTAGTAAATTTTCAAATGAGCTTCAATTCAAAGCTGTTTCAGACATGCTGATGCTCTCTGCATGCATGAACTTTTTATAAGATACAGAGCACGACCCATAGAATCACAGACGGGTGTGGGTCAGAAAGGACCTTAAGTCACCTAGTTCCAACCCCCTGCCAGGGGCAGGGAGACCTTCCACTAGACCAGGTTGCTCCAAGCCCCACCCAACCTGGCCCTGAACACTGCCAGGGATGGAGCAGCCACAGCTTCTCTGGGCACCCTGTGCCAGCGCCTCAGCACCCTCACAGGGAAGAGCTCCTTCCTTGTATCTAACCTGCACTTCCCATTTCAGTATTAACCCATTACCCCTTGTCTTGTTGCTACAGTCCCTGATGAAGGTTTCTTTTTTAGCTTTCAAAAGTATTTTCTCTCCTCTCAATTTTCCTCACCTGTTATTGTGAGGAGGGATATTCTGGTACTTGAAGGATTGAAGAAAGCAAATATATGGATTCTTCTAATTTTTATTTACAGTGCACATACACCTCACTTTTATAATCAGTTTCCCACTTCTGCCTCTCAGGCTTATAAAAACACACACCTGAAACATTTACAGTTACATAAATCTAGTTGTGAAAGCCACAAATGTTGAAGACAACTGAGGAATAAACCATGCTAATGCATTTTTATTTCAAGCTGTTCACAATCAAACCAGTAATATAAAACTGCTTAGGTGCACTTACAAAAAAACAAAAACAAAAACAAAAAAACCACAACAGAAAAAGGAACACACACTCCTGGAAATAAGTTCAAGGGACAACTTTTGTGATCAATAATCATATACATTGCTGCTACTGGCATCCTGGCATATTCTCTACCTTTAATTCAATTTAGCAGTCAAAATCATTATACAGTATTAGTCTTTAATACAATTTGGACTTGTCGTCAGCCCTTTTCAAACATTCTGAAAGGATGTACCTGTCAAGTTCAGCACTGCATGGCTTACAGCATCCTGCAGCCCCTCCATCTAACATAATGAATTTCCCCCTTAGAGATGAATTTAACATCAAAAATAAACTCTGTAGAACAGAACAAATTGAAAGTTGCTAAAACAAGTGTACTGCTTTCTCTATTTTAACTTGTATACTGGGCCTACATAATTAGGATCATACTCTCCAAAAAATCCAGTGAAAATAGAGATGCAAGAGTAAGTCACACTGAACTTTTAACAAACTTATTCTTTATTAGAGCCTCTTTCATGGCCAGAGAGGCAGCAGAGGCCCTTCAAGAACCATTTCTCCTCCTCCTCACATCAGTAATTACTTTCTACCTTCTCCAGTTGTTTGCATTTTCTCCATGTGATTTATCGTGAAACATGTTAGTCACTGCTGGGTGTTTCTCTCCTGGCCAGAAAGCCTCTAAGGGCTGCCAGCTCGAATTACTAATCCTCACACATACACACATACACACACACACACACACACACACACTCCCTTTAGACACTCATGCTCTCAGTGATATCAAAGCAACTTCTCTGGGTTTCAGGTCAGAACCACCACCATGCTCCTCACTCTAGATAGATGTACCCTGCTAACCTGCCACATGTGCTCCAACAGCTGCTGAGATATTCAGCAGGGGACAGGCTGCTACAAAACCCTGCTTAGCAGCCATTACTTTGATGCTCCAGAGGAAGAATAGCTGGAAAAGAATATCCAGCTGTCTCAGAATTACTTCCCTACATAAAATTTTAGTGGCAGAGATTCCTCCTTTGATAATACATCCATGAAATAACCCAGCAAAACAATGCCACGAGCCATGATTGATATTTAAATATATAACCATATTGGACACGTAAGTAAACAAAGGAACAGCTTAGAAAAAACAACAAAGGGCACCAGTGTTTTAAAGTAGCTTTTTTACAGAGTTGGGTAAAAAAAAAAAAAAAAAAAAAAAAGGTCTAGCTTGCACCCATCACTAAACTCAAGGACAGGGCATGACAACACGCTGCTAATAGCTCATGTCCTTCCAGTTTTACTAAAGCATTTAAAATATTTTTGTGAATTTTCTTCTCACCCATATAGTGAAAATAGCTGACATCATTCCTGAATTATCATTTATAGTTCCTACTTTAAGGCAATATCAGTTAAAAGACATATGTAGCTGGTCCGTGACAAATTTTTACAAGCCTGTAAGCACTGTCCACACTTATCAGTGGCTGGGGTCATGGTCACCTATACCATAATCCAAACCACATTGATCTCTTTTACTGGTCACTGTACACAATACATTTGAGGACTGCAGGGCTATCAGTGTAATAACACATCCTTCAAAAAGACCCTTCCTGAACTGGACTCTCTTATCAAAACAAATAAGGCTGTCTTTAATTTACCTCCAGATAAAAACCAGACACTGTGTATCTGGAAGATACCTCTATTAAAACTAGATGTCTGCCTGCAGAATTTATTAGACTATCACCAATTTACCATGGATCAGAGCATCTCTCCAGCACATTGAAACCACTGGTGCAGGCAAGCAGCTACCTGACCTTCGTTCATGCGCTATAGCCGTCTCCCAGGGCTAGGGGATTTACAGGACTGCTTAGCACAGCTGATGGGGCAAACAAGTAAGGAACATGCTGGGCCTTTTCTCATCTCCTCCTCCTCTTGTAGATCAGATTGATGTTTTAATTCACAGCTGCCAGCAGACTGATACGATCGAGCCTTTCACCCACTCTGCAACTCTCACCTATCTGATATCTCCCACCTAAACAAGCATTAGTGACAACTTCTACTTACAACTACTCTTACAGGCTCCCACCAGCTTTGTTTCAAATCTAATACAAGAACCTGAAGTTGAGTGTACACCAGTCTACTAGAGTTCTATATAATCAAGCAGTAAAAGACCCTGGAGTTGTTGCAGATGCCATAGTGTCATTGTTATATGCAGGCAGCTCTTCACCCCCTATCAAACTTGTTCCTGCAGATCCGCATGTGACTTAAAAACATATCAACATCAGAATTCCCATCTTCACTCAGGCTCTTAATCTTGTAGATGCTGCTGCAGCTGAGCTACCTTACAGAGAAGAAGCAAATTCTAGAAACTTTTGTAACTGAATGGTCTACATTTAGTTTGAAGAGTAGCTTAAAAGAGAATATCCCCAACAAATCTTCCATGCTAGCTGCTAGATTTTCCTCTGACTTTCAGTGTAGTTATACTGAAGTGACCTACTGCTTCTGTCAGTTCCCATTTCAGTCCAGAAACCATTCTAACCAGACTAACAGCTGCTCCTACAACTTTCTGCGGAGGGCCACGTGATACAACTTTCACACACAAGCATATCATGATGTAGTACTCACACTTGTCAGAAGGATGCCAGCAGTGACCTGCTTTTAAAACTTGTCAGTCTGGAAGTCAACTCATTCTGCATTGGTTTGCTAATGGTAGCCATAGCAAATACAATGTCAAAACCAATTTTCTATAGCTACATTCCTTTCCCTGCAGACTTAGGTAAAGTTTTAGTCATATAACTGAAAAATGATTGCTGTAAGGGTACAGTAAAGTTTCTTATGGCAACTCACCTTGTCAAAGGCATTGTAGTTTAAGTGTATTTATATTATACTGCTGGTTTCCTCTCAAGTCTACATATGCAGGTTACTCAAAATCTCAGCTTATATATATTTGGTAATTTGGCTTTGTAGCTTAGCCTGGTTAAAGAGCTTATTCCTCCCACCTGATACCTCTTCCCTCACAACTGGAGTTAACAAAGGATTTCCAAACTGCAAGCCTAAACCAAACTCATCATGAGAATTATAACATCAGGGTTTAAAGTGTTTCAAAACTCTGTTCTTAAAACAGTGCAAAGGAACAAAATTATGAATATCATTTTCCTGCAGTCTACTTGAGACTTCCCAGTGCACTAAGGCAGCAGCAGTTGCATTGAAACCTTGTTCCAGCATACAGTTATGTGGCAGAATTGACACTAATTCAACAAGCCGTATGCAATACTAGAATTAGGCAATATCACTCATGCAAATATACCAGTGTCCATTTCAAGCTATTCTGAAATAAAACCAGGAAATATAAGCTCCCTTTGACTGGCATGAATCCTCATAGTAACAGCTTACACATAAACACTAGCATATTTGCTATTGATCATTTTCAGCAGAAACATCAACCTAAACAACATATTGACACTACATCAGGCTTCATAGCTCAAGCTTTAAAACTCATCTGTTACCAAAGGGAGTATACATGAGTGTAAGCCCATAGTAACTGCAAAGTGTCAGTACCTATGGATTTGTAAACGCAAGCTTATCTATACTACAGAAAAAATGGAGAGCTGTCCACAATTTTACTGTAAAATAGTTCAATAATCATCTCACAAACTACCTCATTCACCCAGAACTGCCACAAAGTAAAAGCCTGTGGTTTTTCCCTGACCAGTGGCAAGCCAGCAACAGCCTACAGAAGCCTTCTTAAAACAGACCATATCACGCTACAAAAATGAGGGGGGTTTTTCTCCAGTGACTCCAGGCCCATGAAAAATCTTGCATTCATTTTTTAAGTTTTTTGAAGTTTACTGCCTCTGATCTAGATCATTAAAGACCACAGAAATGCTGATGTTACTTTTAGAAGTTTCTTTTCTGTCGCACATAGCTACGGGTTTGCTCAGAAAAAAATACCTTTCTAGCAAGTAAAATCTGATATTTTCCTCCTATATACTCAGTGACACTTCTGTGACAATTTTTTATTGTAATGTTTTAATTGATGACACAGTTCCCAATGAGTGCAGTAAGGAGGCAGCTTTTTATGTTTTACAACAGTCAAAGAAAGTAAGTGTCCTAGAGGAAAAGAGCTGTTGGGGATGTGATGTACGACAATATAACAACCTACAGTATAAATACTGAGGGAAGTCACATGCAATTTTAAAAATACTTCTGGACATCACAGAATCAACTAGGTTGGAAAAGACCTTTAAGATCAAGTCCAGCCATTAATGCAATTTAGTATTGCTCACTGGTGCACACCTGCAAACTGTAAATCCCCCAGTATTTAAATATGAGTTCCTTTCACCTTTAACAAGTAATTTATCCCGAACAGACACCCTTCGAGTTGAATCAGAAGCTGGATTGGATGCACGGGGTCCTCTGACACCATCATCCCGCTTCAACTTGCTTGCCAGAGTTAGCATTACTGCTGTCTTCAGTCTAGAACACAAACACCAGAACAAAGTCAATGACAACACTAAAGCATGAGGAAGAGGGGAGAATACAAAACCAAGTTACAGTTTGCTCCTTATTCAACAGCTATTGTCATATTCTTCACAAACAAATAATACGATATATACAGTTTACATGACTGCAATTAATGACAAAGATAGCCTAAAGTACTTGAAGAATGAAAGCTTATTTCAGATGTGAACACAGAGGGTTACAGTACATTAGGCCAAACAGAAGTTCAGCTTTGCTGGAGAAAGGTCAGACTTTCATCATTGTTTACAATCCAGTTTCACTGCACCATCTCCCAGATTACACCACTGCTTGACAATGGTCCTTTGAAAGAACTGCTGTGAACATGCCTCTGCCCCATAACCTCTTGCAACCACTGTCAGCCACACTTCACAGGACAATATTCAGAGCTACTTTTTGGCAGACATTAGAAAAAGGGGAGGGTTTAATGGAACAACTCTTTAACACTAGGAAGCAAGCTCTGAGTTAGCTCCCAGGACACAAGAAATGAAATACTTATACTTCAAATAGTGCAATTAGCTATGCAGCTGCACAACAGTAACTCTTCACAGGGCAAAGGAACGGTAGAGAAAGTTACATACAAAGATCTGGTAACTGAAATGAAGATATTTTTGCTGCGCCAGTCCTCCACTGGAGAAGATAACTGCACTAATAAGTTACAATAAAAGGTAGGCTGCATGCCAAAACCATAAAACCAAAACATTCAGCCTGTCATGGCTTAAAACATGTTGACACTACTCCTAGTTGAGGGCAACTCATTCTTCTTAACAGTTCAGCCAAAACCAACATAATGCTGACAAGGTCCATAGTCTTTCGGCACCACCACCACTAAAATGACAGGAGAAACACTTATCCTTTAGTCACACAAATTAATTCAACAAAATAAAGGAAGAAAAAAACCTTGTAGAAAGCCAGCATATAGTCTGTATGTGAACTGGTCTACATAGACGACCAGACAGGTATGCAGCAGTTACCAAGAAACAGATGCTCAGGTAACATCAGCTCTCACAGTATAAAATGGAGAATCAGCCAAGATAACTGTAAGGCAAATAATGAAGTCCAGTAAATCACTGAGATGAAGACAACCACTCTGTGAAATGACAAGATAGAAATTTATCTTTGCCAGCTTCAGTTCTGTATGTCTTGATATTTCTTTCATTCTCGCAAGCAAGAATGAAAGCGAGCCCTGAAGTGAAGTTTAACAGGTGCATTGCAACAGCATTTACTTCACTTGTCCATTTTATTTGCTCTTGCCCTAGAAAAAAACAGGAGATAAAGCCTCTAGGCTGCCAATCTACTTGCTGCATCTGTAGAAGACAGCCTTACTGCTTTCCCAAAGTTGTGAGGGAGCTGCCAGGTTTATACCAAACATCAAGCCAACACCAAAACACTCATGAAAGGGCACAAACAAGAAATGAAGCAACCGCCATGACACTTGGATGTTGAGAAGAATGTAATAAGTGATACAAGGTTTCTAAAAAGGAAAACATATTTCACAGTAGTATCCAAGTATGAAATTCTAGTAAGATTTGCAACAAGGACAAGTTTTCTTAAGTTGAGAAGTATGTGCAGTTAGCTTCAAGAACTGAAACGCCTAGTAGATTTTTTCCTTCCACTACACTAGAGAAAGAAAGAATAAACAGACAAAAGGGGTTTTTTTCTCTCCTTAGAAAAGAGAAAGACAACAGCAAGTTAAAAAAAAAATACATATATATATATATATATATATATAAATCAAAGAAGGAGGGAAAAGTATGAGAGTCTGCAAAGAGTGACATAGGGTTGTAAAGGACAAAAAAATCCCCTCAAATAAAACCAAAACCACCACAAAACAGAAAAAAAACCCCGTAAACTGAAGGTAACCTCAACTACCACCCCCCCCCCGAAAAAAAACCCACGTTTTTAAATGCCAAATCCAAATTAAATCAAATTCAATGGTAATTAACTTCCTAAATAAATTTACAGATGTGTTTTCTCACTGCCTGTCCTAGAAACTAGGAAATCAGCGAAAAGTGTGACCAGTGGGGGAAAGAGATGATTCGCTCCAGCTATACCCCAAATTTCATCGACAGAGCACAAGGAAGTGCTCAAAACCTGCCAACCGCAAAGGGAGAATAAGGCTTTACACCAGTGCACGACACCGGGGAGAGAGGTGACAGAGAGATACTGTCCTTATTTATAAGGAAGAGCAAGACAGACCCTGGATTTCTCCAGCTCCCTCGGGAGCGGAGAAAGGTGCGGCCCGCCCTGCCCCGCACCTCCAGTGCCCGTTCCCTGCGCCACCACGGGGGACAGGGGGGCCGCTGCGGTGAAGACACACCCCAGCTGGGCCAGGGAACAGGTCCCGGGGCTCCGCGGCCTGGCAGGTCGGGGCCACACCGGGAGATGTGGAGGCACCGGGTGGGGAAGGGAAGAAGCCAGGCCTTAGGCGAGGGCAGAGACCGGGCCTGAGCTAAGGAAGACAGCCCTAGCCCAGGCAGAAAGGAGAGCGGCCCGCTCTTACCTGAGCACGGCGTCAGGGCCCGGCTCCCGCGGCCAACACCATCTCCAGCGCTGGCAGGGGGCGGCGGGCGGCGGGCGGCGGAGAACCACCTCCCTCCCTCAGCGGCGCCACCGGAAGTGGGCAGCGCCGCAGACAGGACCGCCGCGAGGCGCGCACCCTTCAACCGTCCCTTCATCGCGAGACTTGAGATGGCGTCGGGGGCGCGCCTGCTGGGATCTCGCGAGACTTGGTGGCGGAGGGAGGTGGGGAGTTCTTCGCGGCCGGTAGGGCGGCGCCATTTTGGGTCAGCGAGGCCTGAGGGAAACCAGCCCCTGACGTCGGCCCCGGCCACAGCCCGGCTTTCCCTCAGCACCAGTGTCATCTCCTACCGTCTCGTTGTGGGTCTGTGGAAATGTGATTTGGTTCAAGGAGAACATAAATCACACCAAGCCACCAGGGAGATGTGATAGGGGAAAAAAGACCAGCCACTGTCAGGGTGATTTCCTCAGGGGAGTGTGAACAACATGCTGGCTGTAGCCTTTGCATTACTGCTTGCTTGAATTAGTTCAGTTACTCTACATCCCAGCAGCAGCAGCTTAGTGGAAGCAATAGTCAGATTAAATCAGTGTAAAAAAAAACAACTGAGCATAAGAGTGCATTCAGTGATCAACAGTGAATTATTTGACATCATAACTAATATGACCAGTTGAAACTTCAAAAACACCCACAATTAAGTTAGATCAGCCCTTTGATCTGTAAAACTTAAATATGTGCATAAACTCCCCAAATTCTTCGCTTGGTAGATTTCCATAAATAAGGGAACTAAAATAAAAGCTATTTGAGCAGCATTATAGCAGCATTAGAAGGTTTGATGAAGCAAAGCTAGAGACCAGACATAAGGAAAGTTTGGCAAACAGCTATTGAAATACTCTCTGTGTCCTAAACATTCACTGGAATGATACACTTCACCATCACCAAAAATAAAATTGGAATCTAGCTTAGTCCAATCTAGTTAAACCAGTGCAGAACCATCACTCAGAGGCCTTAAATTGTCCTAACCCTTTCACAAGCTTAATGGGAAAGAGGAGCACCCAGCTGAATTGGCCGGAAAGCATTTCCCTGTTCCGCAGTTTAGTAACAGCCTCTCCACTGCGAATTGCTCATGCTTTGGTTTTCAGCTAGGAAAAAAAATGTAACTGGGAGATGAAGAAATAAAGTATGTGTTTAGAAAAACCTGCTCTCAGGAGTGCCGACGATGGCTGGAAAGAGTGAACATGGCAGCCCTCCCTTTACTGTCTTCTGTGTCTATGCCACATGGACACACCAGCTGGGTGTCTAAAAATCACCAACTTTAAGGGGAAAATAATCTCAAAAATTATCTAAAACACTGAACCCGCGGGAGGGGGGTATGATTACAGGCTAATCCAAGTGCATGTTGATTCAAAACAAGTCCATCGGCTGGCTATAGAGATGCAGGAGACAGACAGGACCCTGACAGGGCACCTAACACAGAGGCTGCACCTGTTCAGACCTCACTGCCTGCCTCCTCCCCAACTGTGCCATGGCAGAGGGTCCCTTCTACTTTGTCAGGCTGTTGAAGACTGTGTTTGTGAGGAACTCAAGATGCTAAGTGTCTTAGAAAAGCCTCTGTGTGGTTCTGTTTCCAGATTCCCATACAGCTCAGAACCAAGAAGATGTCTTGAAGATAGCTGTACCTTGAAGAGCAATAAGCCGAAGCCATTTCACACTCTGCAGCAGACTATGGACCCTATGACACAATTTCGTGAGCCTGTCGTAAAGCCTGCTGGGACAGTCTGAAGCAGACAAAGGTTGCAAAGTCAACCTCAGCACTCGGATTTCCCAGCTTATTTGCCTTTTGATAGCATCATTCTGGAAATACAAGCTTGAATATTCAAGATACTGATACACATTCTGCTTTTGCTGATACTTTTTCTCTCCCAAAGGTCACTGTCCATTACCAATGCCAAGAATTCAATAAGCAAGACAGACTCACCACAGCATTATTATTAGGCTCAAAATGCCCTATCTTAACCGCTAAGCTGCTCTTCAGAAAACTCAAGAAATCTGCTTCTATTTTGTCTTCAAGTATCACCAGCTGTCCTTCCTTTTTCTGCAGCACAGCAGCTCAGTTAATATCTGGCCACTGTGACCTGTGCTGGGATTCGTAAAACATTTTTATGAGACAATTCATAAAGGTGCTGTCAACAAACTGCTGCCTCCTCTAAAGACTAATTAAAGCTGAGCCAATACAGTCCAGTACAGGCTGTAATGGTGTTCAGTCTCCTCTCACCCTCAGCCAGTTCCTCTTATTAGTGATGGGAAAAAATCACCACCCGATGTTTGGTGACCTTCTGCAACTACTTGACAATTTCAGTTTATAACAGCATGAAGAAAAGTCTTTGCAAATCAGATTAATCTAAACCCATGCCCCAGTTACTCTTTTTCCTCAGACAGTGTTGTTGCAAGTCTAGACAGAGAGACAGTGCTGTTTACTGGAAGCAAGAGTCTCCTATTTTTACTGTGTTCCCTTTCTACCCACATAACATCTAGTCTGGGAAAAACTAAGTGGACATGTTGTATATACACAAAATATGTATCATAAGGGATACGTGGTGTGTGCACATGCTTCCCACTCCCACATTTTCTCAACTCATGTTTATTCATTCTTTCATGTTGTGTTTGACAAGAGGTTTTTCTCATTCTCTCACCTCCTTTTCTCACTTAGGCTCAAAGAGCATAGTGTAAGCTACTCCTGAGGCTGAACTCTGAGGCACCCCAGAGGGTGAAGAGACCAGGATCTCGAGCAGCACTGTACACTTACAGAGAATCTTGGTTTTCAGAAGTACCAGCTGATCTGGGGAGAATTCAGAATTTTCCAGTGAAAACTTTCCTGGTGGATACCCCAAGTCAGGCATGTTTAAGGCCTCAAACCAAGATATTTCCAAAGGTGCTGCTGAAGAGGCAAGAGTCTCAAAGATTCAGCACTTGAGGAAGTAACCACTGGCAAGAGTAGTTTCTAAAGTAATTTTGTAATCTCATCTCAGTTAATGCACATGTGATAGAATATTTCATTTTTTGATCATTGTGTTTGTGACCTGGAAAGTCCTTCATGTTTCCCACAGCAAGAATGCAAGCAGTTACAGACATCACGTCCTGCTGCAAACAAATGCAAGGTTTCTTCTCTGTTGGGTTTCAGGCAATTACCGAACCATTTCTCATTACCCCACTGTCACTGTTGCTAAGGCTAGAGAGAAGATGAAACAAACATCTTGGATTTATACTGTACCACTATTTAAAGAATACACGTCTTCTTCTGTCCTTATTGGTCTTTCTCTCAAGCTTTTATTTAACATGTACATGTCTGCTGGGGGATGAAACAAAGGAAGTCTGCTTTTTTTGTTAAAGTATGAGCTCCTGCCTTTATAAGCAACTGTGAAAGTTCTCATATTGTCAGGAACAAAGAGAAACAGCCATTATCCAAACTCCCTCACAGGTTCTCTAAACACAACTTTTCTATGTCCTTACTTTAAAAGTGCTAACTCTATATTCAGACACATCCCATCCACTGAAAAATAAAGTAGAAGTCCCTGCTGCTCATGTTTTGGTCCCAGAGTTTGCAATCTCAGAAGAGATGCTAGTTCTGCATTTGTACTCAAGCGCTCAGCAAGCCAGGACAGCTGGGATCATACATTTTGCCTAGAGAAAATAAAAAATACAGACTTTAATGGAGAAGGCCACATGGCCTCAGGCCTTAAGACAGGGGCAGGTTTAGGCTACTTTTCTTACAAGCTGCCCAAGGAAGCTGTGAATGGTCCACCCCTGGCAGTGTTCAGGGCCAGGTTGGACAGTGCTTGGGAGCAACCTACTCTAGTGGAAGGTGTCCCTGCCTGTGGCAGGGGGCTGGAACTAAATGAGCTTTAAGGTGCCTTCCAACCCAAACCACTCTGGGATTTTATTACATATCCAGTTTGAAGGACTCTATAGATGAGGGGTCTGGTTTTGACTACAAAGATAAAAGTAACACGATATTGCACAACTTGTGTTCTAACACTGAAAGAAGCCAGTGAACATGGAGGACACATCTCTCATGTGGCAGATAATCTGCTTACTAATAGTCTTTGCTTTCCACCACCTTGCTTGCTTGTTTGGGTTTAACCTGTGTTGGCTTTTCCCCCTCCCTCTTTTAAGCAAAAGCATTCTGCTTTTAGACTGAAATCATTAGAGTTGTGACTGACCTGTCACAGCAGGCCTGAAACTGGCTTTGGAGTATCAGAAGGAAGAGGATGCTGTGTGACAGTAATTATGACAATGGCGTGTGCAGTATTAGAGCTGCTAGTTCATATGCATGTAGCCAAGAAAAAGTGAGTATCACTGATGCGAGGCACATGAGATTGTTGCAACATGTAACACTTTTCCTCCTGCACACTTCAACTCACATCTGCTGCAAGCCATTTGGAAGAGCAGGTCACTGTAATTTCATTGTGGTCGTGATGGCAACATCAGAGCATTTTTGTACACACTGCTTTATTAAAGTCATATTGAAAAGGGATCTCAAGAGTTCCTGCAGTAACAACTGGATTTCTGTTAGTCAATAACTGCATCACTGTGGACAGTTCATAAGCAGAGCACTGAAGGAGAAACATGCCAAGAGGAGGGCAAACAGACCCATGGGCTGCAGCTCATGATTACTATCAAGCGGCTTAGATTTGATATATGCTTTATAACAAGCAGTGACGCAACCCTCCGATTAAAACCAGTGTACGTGTTCAACTGCTGACACTGCTCAGGGACTGCATTGACCTGAAATTTAGCTGCTGCTTCCCTGGGCAGTGCTAAAACCAGAGAACAAAACACCAGAGCAGGGTTCAAAATCAGATTAGAAAGCCATTTTTTCTCCTGCAGGTCTAGATTAAAAAAAGAAAAAAATTAATAAAGCAAGAGCCCCACCATGATTTTGGTCTTAAGTTTTGGGTTTCTTGCTTAGACCAGTCCTAATCTTAACTTCTTTTTCCTGAACAGAGTAATCTTCTCCTTCCATCTCCTGAAGCATGGTTTGCCTGTGTGACTTCATGTCCATGGTGGTCACAGTCCC